TGGTGCTGGCGTGGATTCAATATTTCATAGCCCCGGGGATGGTGGGCCCAGATGTTTGGAACCAATCTACTTCACTGGTGGCATGGACAATTTAGGAGAAATGTTTCCCGCCGCTGACCCTTGGCACCGGGACGACATACATTCCATTGTTTGTGGGGAAACGCAGCCCCCCTTACTAATGAAAGTGGGTCAACTGGCCTCCGGGGAGGATATGAATCATATCAAATGATCATAATAAATTAGCGCCACAGTCTTATGATGTTCTTACCTTCTAAGCTCTGAGAATATGACAACATTTTGTCAACATTGACAGCTAGGACATGTACTGCATACAGAAGCGTAGATGTCTCAAAAGACATCCATGTCTTGCAATACTGTACGTGTTTCAAATAATTCATCCTCAAATATCATAAGAGCTAATAAATGATGGATAATGCGATGAGCAATCAATCCTCAGTGAAATTGTTTTGACAGCTAATCACTCCAAATCTTACAGGTAGGTGAGAACACTTCATTTAGACAAGCGATCGGTTGATAATACCAATTAGTACCAAGGAAGGATAACAGGATTGTCATTCAGCACCAAGGAGAGATGCTTCCTGGCTAGTTTTAGGGCTTTGGAAAAAAGCCAGTCACTATAGCCGCAGCTTTAAAGAAAGGGATGATAGCATTGACAAATGGCTTTATGAATCTCAGAGGGGTCTGTAGATAAACCCCTTTGGGGACCAATTATCACAAGGGCACAAGTAATTAGTCTGGAGAAGCATGCAGGGGAGGGCATCCTGGGTCAAGCTCATCTGCTGAATTGCTCTCAACTACAATTGCTGTAATTGCTCTTGCTGTACAAAAGGGATTACAGGTGATTAGATAGTGCCTGGGCCCAACTGTTCCCTCTGTACAACCTTATTGTGGATGCTCAGACTTTTTACCTAACAATCCAAACTTTTAAAGCCGGATTAGTTCTTGTGCCTATTCCTATCTCAAGGAATAAAGGTGGTGGTACATACCAATCAATGGCATCACAAGCAAGCTCCAAATAACTTTTTGACCAAAAATAGTTTTAACTTAAATTAGTACATTTCAACACTTATTTTTCCAACGGCTACTTCTAACTTCAAGCTGCATGCAAGCCCTGATATGAATCTTTATGAATAATATAATTCTACATGCTTGCCAATAATATCGCCTGGGACTAAAACACAGCATCTTATCATTGCTCTTCTTTGAATAAAGAATGTGTATGCACAAGATAGTGGCCATCAATCCGGGTGGGATGGAATTTTAATCTCCCAGACAGATAAGTGCAATCATCTGAGGTGCCATCACTCTCTCGGCAACAGGTTCTGTAACTGGAGGCTGCCAAAAATAATGAAATAATTTCATCGTGGCATCAAGGGACATTCTAAAGAAACCTTTTCGATAGAAATGATCTGCAAAAAGTACCAGTGCTGTGCCTTTGTGTATTTCTTTCACATGAATCGTCGTTGACTTGTGTGTCACGTAGAGTGGGTGTACCTAGATTCTGAAGTCTTTCGGATTACGACAGGACCATTTAATCATCAATGCGGTAGAAAGTATCAAATAAACAAGATCATAACACCGTGTCATAATAATAAAACATGGTGTCATGTATCATCATCAGTTTTCAATCCCTAATGGCATTAAACCTGGAGAAAGCAATTCAAGCAAAGACCTTATATCTTCCCGTATGACTGATAGCATCAATTTTACATGGGAAGGAGAACAGAGAGCCACAAGGGCCGCCTCATGTCTTGCCATGCGTGGAGACGTGGAAAGAAAGAAGGCCGGCTACGAAATTTGCGCTGATCTAGTAAGGTTGAGATCATACAACTGTAGCTACACCAATATCTATCATTTCTCCTACTCCACAGTAGTGTCCATGATGACAAAAATATCTTTAACATCGTTTAGAAACGCTGAAATTGTGGGCATCGGTAAAATTACTTGTAGGATATCACCAATTTTGCGTCTGTTGAGAACACTCAATGGCAGATTTAATTCTTCGGCAAAGAGATAGAAAGGAGAAATCTACACAAGACTGCCTACATGTCTCTTATTTGTGAAGAGCTGAGAAAAACGATTTACAGGGTCTTTTTTTTATCTGGAATTTCTGAGTAAAAAATAAATGGGCAGTACATCCAGTAATGTTTTCAAACACCCTGAAAACCTTGGAGATATTTGATGTCATCTTGCTGCGGGATGGGAGGAAGAAAAATCAATTTTCCATTGCCTGCGGTGCAGTCACAGAACTTTCCAGCACATTCATCGCACGCACACACCATCTTCCATGAGTCAAACTGAAAGAATAATTTGGAGCGGGCATCTGAGTCCGCATATAAAAAACCTGGGGTACAGCCGAGCAGTAATTGCATCTCATTTTGACAGGTTGACAAAACTTTCCTGTGGTAATGTGCAATCCACTGAGTGTGCTACCCTGGGGGCCCTGCTATCCACCCGATCAATATCCCTAAATGGCCCCCAGATTATTATACCAGTAATGCTCTCTTCACAAAAAGTTCACCTGACCATTTTCCAAATACCATCCTATTTTCTCTCCCACAGATGTCTTTAATAGAACCATTTCTTTTAAATGAAGAAATTTTACAGGATGAAGTCCTGAAACGATTAAGCAATCGGTTTAAATGCCCATATCCCACAGTAGTGAATCAAAGTTTGAAACCGCATACAATTAGATCAACAATGGAAACCTTTCAGCCTAACTAGCCATGAAATCCCAATAGCTATTCTCGCGGAAAAAGGGAGACCTGAACATTTCCCTGCTTTTTGTCTTCAATCATAATAGTGTTGGTACATGTAACGTCTCTGGAATATCAAAGTGTTGCTAAAATCTGGGGAAAAAGTAATTGCAGTTTGCCGTTTGGAAAATTTAAAACTCTTGCCTTTGGCACCCCTTTTTTTCCTTTTTGACTTACTAAACTGCATCCAAGTACTTATTACAGATACAAGACACTGGATGCTGGATGTGTGCTTCAAATGTACATACTGTATACATTTCCATCTGATGGTGTCAAGGTGCCAACTGTTGTTTTTATTATTTTCAATTACAATAAATGTTCCTCCCAATCTTCCTTTGTCTGTCTCACCTACAGTTCAATCAGGAATTGCTCCTGCAGTGGAACACCTTTTGTTCCTTTCCCGGCCCAACTTTATCTCTCCATTCAATCTCCATCACTCCACCCATAATGCACCCTGCTCCATGCATCACGGCTGACCTATTTTCCCACAAAAGGAGCAGCTCGGAGGGAAGAGATTGGAACCGATCTATCTCGTTAACACTAACAGGAAATGAGATGATGTCTGAGAAATGGATTCAAGAGTTTTCCGATACTGGCTTTGTTTTAGTAAAACATACACCAAGCATCAACATACAGTGCAACGCAAAACAAATCTTGATCTTAAGGCCCTTACCAATCTCTCCTTGAAGTGCTTGTAACACTCAGTTGTGTAAAGACATCAAGAAGTTCAAAGTCAAGAGCCATGCATCACTCTTGCTGGAGACTGGTTAATGCAGAAAGCACACTTGACATTGAGCCATAACGTACATGTTGTATCTAATATCTGTATACAATAAAGGCAAGGAAAGTGTAAAGAAACCCCAAGGAGTCATTAGTTACATGCATAAGGGCCCTCCATATTACAAACAGCCAAAAGAAGCCATTTCTATATCCTTTGGGAAGAGGGAATCCTAAAACTTCATCAATAATAGCCTCACTTTTCTTCTCGCTGACAGAAGATCTTCACGGCTACACAGAAGCACTTTGGAGCCTCTGGTGAAGTTTGAATGCTTTAGCGGAAGCCTGGGAACTGAATTATGGATGTTTGTAACATTGGCATTTGACATTCATTTGTGTCTGCAGGGTTGGATAATCCCAGCAGGAAAGCAACCTCTTGCACCTGAAGGCAACCATTCGTCAGAAGTAGGTAATGTTCTGGGGAAGACATGTAGTGCAAAGCACTATAAATACTGTTATTGTGGAGCTGCTTGCAGAGGAACAGAATTTACAGTCTAAAGTTTTGCCAGACAGTTTTGTGAATTAGAAAGCTGTGGAATATATTTTAAAATATTAAAAAATCTTTTTGTTGTAAAGGAGAAGTGGGAGAAAACGTTTAGCTTTTGATGTGGAAGTAATCCAAGCTTCAGGAGCTCTATCCTGTTTGGATAAACTCTGCAGTGAGCTCTGCAGATTTATAAACAGATACTTTATAAACACAGAATTATGACGGTGCATTATATCAATTTCTATACAGAGCTTTACAATAATGAGACATTTTGTTAGGAAGATAACAGGTTACCCTGAAGAAACTCTGAGGAAAGACTGGTCGTGGATTCTTCATCAAACCCAAGGAATGTTGACAGACATAAAAATCAGGGAATTTGCTTCTGCGTACATAACAACACCTTTAGGGGCAAAAATAATCTGAAGTCCCCAGTGCAGTGGCCATTACTTGTATCCTCCAGCAGCGAAGTGGATTCCAGCTCAGTCTGTTAATGGTAATGGGTAACAGGTTGGACCATGTAGCAGGGTTCCTGCCGAGGAATTGATTCCCCAGGAGTATTTCCTTGATCCAGCTGGAGGAGACTGATTGATCAGGCTCCACCGTGACCAAGCCTTCCTGCCTCTTTCAAGGCCATTAGGTACGATTCCGACATGTTTGCAAAAGTTTCTCCATATCTGGGCCGCCTCGTGCCAAATGGAATCCTAACGACGCCCACCATCCTTGGCTACCCAAGGCTCCCAAAACGTAATAAGGTGTGTTTCCTGATTTCATGCATACATCCCAGCCTGGCATGTTGGAAGAACGTACTGTAACCCTGGTTTTTCACGGTTTTCGTTGGATGTTTGGTCACTGTTGTATTAGAATTTTGCCCGTTGCAAAGGATATCTTTTCAACATAACATTTGGAAACTACAAACGTGGTGTTAACCTTATACATGTATATGCGAATATGACCTTATAATATGAGAATATAAAAATAATCTGATGTTCTGCCAAAGTGCTATGTACAATACATTACGGTTTCGCGCAGGTGCAGTACGTTCTGCCGACTGCTTACCACCTCCCTCCCCTCCTGCCTATAGGCCATGCTTGTGCGTCATCAGGACTTGTTGGTTACAGTTGTGATAGATGAGACAAGTAATGGGCACCTACATTTCATTTCATACTTATGTCTGACTTGTTTTTAAAGGGATGGTACAATGTTTTGCAGGGTTAGAAGTTGGAGCGCAGAGGGCCAACTTTGTGTATAAATCATTTCTCTGAATTTTTCATTCAGTTTCAACTGATTTTTTTTCATCATCATGTGGAGACGTGTAACTTCTTTTTCCATTACCGTTCTAGCTCTTAATTGATAATAAAAGTTCAACTTGGAGCCATGCACTATACAGTCCTGTGGTTTTTAGTCCCCGATGATCTCTGTGTGTGTGTGTGTGGTGGGGGGGGTTGCTGTCAACATAATGGTTGCAAGGAGCTTGGATGAAAGGCACAGGTTAGTGTATTGATTGAAGACAGGCTTCATGAAAATTTTTCAGCTGGACAGAGGGACACAAATTTTTAAACTGATTACACTGTGCCTCAACCTTCCCCTTAAATAACACTAACTTTGAATTCTTAAATAACAAACACTGCCGGTATATGGTTCAGGGGGAGTCAGAAAAACAATTTTCCTTCATAATGTGGTGTGAACTGGGAGCTTAACATAATGCTAGACAAAATACTAACCACAATACCTAAACTAGTCCTGGATGTAGCTTGGAAGTACATGTACATTGTATTATTATGATAATAGAGAGCTCTATGTAACAACAGAGACTACTATCCACATATTAAGTACATTTTTTGCTTCTTTCAACTGCAGTTATTTCAGCAAAACACATATTATTTGCAATAATTTGAGAACAACACATTTTTGGAATTTAAAAGTAGCTAAATATAAGATGCAAACATTTGATAAAAACAGGTGCAAGATAAAGCATTTAGTGCTTGGGACATTGTTCCATGGAATGTATCTACCCCTACCTCTCTGTCCTACTGCCCTGCCCTGCCTCATACCCAGTACTGGTTCCTTTTGAGTGTGGGCGCTGTTGTTCTGCAGTGGGACACCAGTTCTGGGTCCACCCCACTCCAGTCATAACCAAGCTTCTCGCTTCCCGATGACAAACTGGTCATGGAAATCCCATTTGGTGAACCCGCTTTTTGCTTGTGATCTTCCCCTGACAGTGGGGTGACCTTGACGCATGGCATTGTCGGACTGCACTCTGGTTTTGACGAGAATGTCGTGTGCATGGGAACGACCTCGGGTACTTTTTCGCCCTTCATCTTGCCCCTGTGAAGCATCGGTGGGCTGGAGCCAAGTTTATCTGGGCTCTCTGGATTCAGCGGAGGTATGGACACCACTCCGTCTGGAAGGTCTTCTCTCCTTTTGTCCCTCTTTCTCATACGGAAAACGACAAGCGCAATGACGATCAGAATCAGGAGGACTAATATGACAACAATCGGGATGACAACGGCCAGGTTGTCATGTCTGATGCGAGGGTTGATTATGCCGGTGTTTTGTCCATACCCCACCGATGGCTCTGTTGATCTTGGCATGTTTCCTTGTGTGAATTCATCAACACCATCTTGTATGGGCTTACCTCCCCTGTTAATGACATTTGGGTCTTTAAAGATGCCATCGGTAATATCGGAGTCCTCGTCAATGAGATTTGTGTCGACACCTGTTACTGAACCAACCGGGTACGTGTCTGTTACGCTCGATTCGTTGAACGTTGCATTTGTGGTGCTCTCTAGCTCCTCGGAGCGAGCCTTGGGCGGTAACAACTTGACACGGACGTTTGCCACGGCCGGCTGCACCCCCTCGGCGGCCACCAGCAGGCTGAACATGTCCGTGATGCTGGCCTTATTTGTTATGTTCACCATGTTTACCAAGAACATGACAGTTCCTGCCTCCAGGTCCCTTTGTGTGAACTCAGAAACCGGCACAAACGTAGCTGAGTCCACCAGCCGACCGTATGTAGGGTCTTCGATAACTCGGAACTTTGGGGGTGACCCCGTCAAGCTTTCCAGCTCGCTTCCATCTATCCAGTCCTTGTTTAGATGCACCCAACCCCCCAGGGTGACCTTCTGATCATTGACCTTCAACCTCGGGGCAACTGTTATATTGAATGTTTGATTAGACAGGACACTGTCAGATGAGTACATGGTGAACTTGAAACTATCCATGCCCTCAGATAATACTCTCTGGACGTACATCAATTTTTCTCTGTCCACATCGACTTGCTTGAACCTTGACACAGTTACATTATCCAACATGATGCTACCAAACTTTGGCGGGGATAAAACCTGAAACATGATGTTCTCTCTCTTGCCATTTGTGTACCCACTGAGGTGATTTCTTGTGATGGCCACACTCTTGCTACCTTGCAGGATATTTGCCCCAGTGTTGTTGACCAATGACACTGACACGGGCACAACAACCAGATTAAACAGCTTAAAGAGAGGCCTGTGGACTCCATCAGAAACTTGGAAGTAGAACACTCCCCTCGAGGGGGTGCCATCTTGAATATAAACCAACTTTCCGTCATTAATGTCTTTTTGGCTGAAAGTCCTGATGGATTCTGATGAATTTTGCAGGAATGCAAGGTAACCATTATTTGGACCATTGATTATTCTATAAATGATGTCTGAGGGAGGATTGTCAGGGTCAACTGTGTTTAAGTTCTCAGAAGTGATAGTGGTACTAAAGCCTTGAACAACCTGGAGGGAAGGATTCTTGGTCAACAGTTTAAATGGTTGGTCGTTCACTGGAGAGATACTGATATTGAATTTCTCAGAAACCAATGTTTTCTGCTTCAGCAGTGCCTGTTCTTGTAACGTTGCCAACCCCCTTTTTTCCAGCCAAACAGAGAATTCAAACATGTCGGCAGTAGTGTCTGAATCATCGTGTTTGTATTTGAGCTGCCCTTGGTTGATTTTATCTTGCGTCAGCATAACAGGCCTGGAGATATTTTGGTCGTTGAGTTTGAGGACCCCATTTCTGGGCAGGCTCGTCAGGTTGTATCTCACAACATAATCAGACAGCTGCTCTCCCCCTGCACGCCGTAGCAAGTTTGAGGCATCCAAATGTTCCATCAAAATTGTACCACCCCTGCCCTCGGTAATTGTTAATCCAATATTTGCCGACAGTTCAGTCTGATTGACTACATTCCCATTGTTGTACAAGATAGAAATCTGAAACACTTGTTCGGGGATAGCATCGGCTAGAGCGGAGGAAACGTTAAACATGAATTGGTCTACCTGTGTCCAGGAGTCCTCTGATAATGTCCGGTGGAGGTAGGCAATCACTCCCTTATTGACTTCCTCTTGCGTGAAGGAGGAAACATCCACGGTGCTATTGTCGGGAAGCACTTTGACGAGCTTCCCCAACTTGGGTGGCGACGTGATCGTGAACACGATTGTTCTATTTCCCTTGCGATCGTTCGTCACCGCCTTCAGGTTCTGCACGGTAAGCACCTGCCGAGTCCGGGGATATGCTTTCAGCTCATTATTGTTCTGGAGCGAGATAACCAAGGGTTTGGCCGTGATGGTGAAGATCTTGCGATCGTCGATGTTCTTCCCGTCGTTGACTTGAAAGCGGAAGCCTCCCGTCGACGCACCTGCAGAAATGAAAAAAGTCAGCAGGAATACTCCAAGGCAACAGATAACGAGGAAGGGGCAGTTGCAGTAGTCCTTGGAGAAATGCATGATCCGTCGCCTTGTGGTTCTCCAACAAGAGACTGCTCGTTGCTGCCGTCCGTGCCTCTCCTCCAGCATTATGGCCTCTCGCAGGTAATTAAACAGCACATGCGTAGGCACGCGCTCCCCCAGCCCACTGATAATCTCACAGCCATGCTGTCACCTGCAGCCTATTGTCGTATGACGGAGCAGGGAGATAAATCAGTCTCAATAATTATTGCCGCGGCCCGGCGTCCTTGCCTACCCGGCCATCCTGTAGTAACAAAACTCCAAATTAATTCCACCGCAAACCGCATCAGCAGAATAAGAGAGACCCACAGTACGTCATGTCCATGGACCCGGCGTTCCCCCTCTCCGCTAACTATCACACTGGGGCCACCAGCTGCACCCCTCCACACCAATACATTCAATGGCTGCAATTTCCAATCAATGAACCTTAATTTCCTTTCAAGTACCGTCAGTTGGAACATGACTCTAAAAGCGTCTGCCGCCCCACGTGGGAAGGCCAGCTAATGTCCTCAGGCCACATGATTTAGGTGGATTGTTAAAGACCAGGGCAGGTTGATTTCAGGCTTGGATTGAGATGTACAGGTCTAATATATGCGCTTCACTTCATCACCTGTCCCGCTCCGAGAGTTTAATACATTAACTCATCCAGATGCGGGGTCTTTACAGTCGTGATAGGACCCTGTGGATTTCCTACATCCAATCGGATTGGAAATGCATAATCAAAGTTATGTATTCAAATCAGCATTAGCATAATATAATAACATTAGCATCTTTACATAAGGAACCAATCCCTGACAGCAACTTCGCTCCACAGCCACTTTCAGACGATGCGTTTCCTTGTGGTCATCCCTAATGATGAAAAAATGGAAATATTAAACATACATAAGTTGTCCCTGCAGGCGGGATCAATCCCTCTGGATACTGTTGATGTGAAAATGAAATTAGATAAAATTATTACAGTTACCCAAGGGCCCGGAGGAATTGCCACTGCTCCCAGTTTAATCAATCGGAACCAGTTCTGTCAGATGTGTTTGACAATGAGTTGGAGGAAATGCCTGGGCCAGTAGTGTTCTGCCTCATAATCATGATAAAAACAGGTTCTCCCCCTCAATTATTCACAACCTCAACAAAAATATGTTTCTAGGGTTTGTCCATAAACAACAAAAGCCCATAAAAAATGGCAAGGCAGTACTATAAACTAATCATAGCTACCGGATACTGATTCATGATCTCATTCAAGACAGACCTCATCCCATTAGGTAAGTCCCTGTATCCATTGATCACAGTTGGCCAGGACACCCCACTTAAATGCAGCACTATTTACACCGCTCAGGTTTCTTCACAACCTTGCGTACTACATCACAATGCTCTTTGTGTGATTGGGATATCAAGCCCAATACCAGTTTGGGATGGCGGGCCCCTTTCTTCCAGCATCACCAGTAATTGATATAAAGCGAGCGGGGCTAGCGTCCAAGTTCTGCCTCAGGAAAGGACATCTGTACATTAATCCAGGCTCCATGTGATGACTTCTCATGTGTTAACAAATGGCTCTACATGTTTGTAGTTTCCACTTCTGCCATGGCAAAGTTTGTAGCTGCAGTCAATGAATTGTGAAAGACACATATGCATAGGTAACAGACTGTATCTGCTTTATTCCGTCAGGTGGTGCCGGTGGCGCTAAATTTGGCAACCCATCAGAGTACGGAACAGATGTTGTGGATGGAAATGAAATTCCGCTACGCGATTTGAGCAGCCAAGTTTTTCTCCTTGGCCTTGAAGAGTAGTGAAATAATTTCTGGAAACACTAACAAGTGCCGGGGGATGATGAATTTGACAGGCCTTGCATCAGCACTGAATATATAATGATAACTTTGGCAGAACGTATCATATTCTGTTTGCATATACAAGGATGATATCCCGTCTATAATCTCTAAATATTTGTCGGAAAAAATGTGTGCAATTCTAAAGAAACTTTGACCAAAGATTCAACAGAGGCCATGGTGAATTCTTTTGTAATGCCAAGACAACAACTCCCATACATGTACATACATGTAGCAAGGCTTTCAAAATGTCAGTTGGCTAGCAATGGAATTTCTAAATAACTCACAGGAAAATAATACATGTAAGTTCTCCATGAAGATACCTTTTAACCATATGTCAGAAAATTAGAACAGAACATATTTCATGGCAACATATGCCATCCTCAGAAATGTTAAGATTATGTACTATACATCCTGTAAGCTAATACACTAATTCATTCATTTTCATCACTATACAACAGTTAAAGAGTACGTTTAACACTTAAGCAAGACAATCTAACTTCGATTTTACAACTAATACTACAATGTCTAATGGTCTAAAAATTTCTGGATTACGCCATAATTGCCTGGAAATTGCCACCCTCCCTGTGGAGATCATAAATGTAGAGATAGGAACACAGACCAGTTTAAGTGGCACCCTGCACGGTAAAACCATTTCACCACATTTGATCAATCATTTGCCTTTTTGTATATTAGACAATGGGATATTCTCATTTCTACATACAAACTGCAGTATATTGCAGTAATACCGCAAGTTTTCTTGTAGTTTCTGCTGTATTCAAAGGTAAACAACAACTGGTAAACATCAATAGAGGATACCGGCCATATACATTGTAGTGCCATGCATACTGTTCTTTTGAAATTCTGAATCAGTCTTCTCAATATGTGAGCTTACCACTTAAAGCTAAACGATGATGTACGCTTATCCTAAAATCACCCCAAATCCCATCCACACAGCTTGTGACAGATTTAATAGATGATTGTTAAATTCCTATCCTTCAGTACTGGCGAGGTATAGCAGAGAGCTTAATGTGTCAGTACATGCAGGTATATTGTACCTTAACTACAGAATCTTATATACATCTTCACATTTACAGGCCATACAGATGGTACGTTCTTAAAGTCTTTACTATGCATTTACTACTGTTCTTGAGTTGTCATGCCAACGTAAAAGTTTTATCACATTCAAGTGCTAGGTGTACATGCAGGTAAATCTATGTCATCACCACACAAAGATATATGGAGCATAGCATATAACAACGATGAAGGTATTGTTCATAGATGTAAAATTGCAAAACCAGAATTTAAAGTACAATGTAGTCTGGTAGTAGTCTGGTGCCCTAGGCTATAGATCATTTTGTACGTTATTATTTCGCTGGCACTCTTACACACGCACACACACATGCACATGCACACACATGCACACACACCCTACCATAAATATATTAGTCAAGTATGAAAACAATCTCATTTAAATTCTCGTCACAGCTATCTAGAATTATCGCAGTTCCCCAGAATCAGCCTTGCTAATCATTCAAATTTTACAGACGCTGCCTTCACAAATGGAGTTGCTTTACAACATATGTATTTACATGCGATTTAAGTTCACCACGATATCATCATATGGTGGAAAATTTTTGATAGCAACTGCACTTCGAAACCCTGGGGTCAATTGCTACTTCTAGACATCATTAAGTTTCTTTCAGGGATGTAAATTATTCTGTGCTAAAAAAATCCAGCGCTACGTGTCCTACGCTACACAATTGTTGGCTTTTAAGTCTGTACAAAGAAAATCCACACGCCCAGATCTAGAAAACCACCTGTTTTCATGTTTATTTGAATCTTGTTCATGGGATGATGGGAAAAGCCATTTCATGACTAACAGCTGGACAGAGATGGGGCATGACACTTGCAAACATGGTCACTTTGCAATCTTTGTATTTCGATAAATATAACAGACAGAAAATTAAGAAAAATGCTGCAGTTGCATTTATAGTCCTGTCCTTGGTGCTGAAGTATAGCTGTGATGATACTTTCCAACCTAGGATGGATTCTGTGACATTAGACCATGTTGATAATATCATAGATGACATCCTTTGGGAACCCCAAAACTGATGCCTTCATGAAGAAATCTATGTGATCATGAAGGTTAAACATGACTACATGTACAATACACACAGAGTACAATATGATGAATAATAGGCCTAATTGTCATTTCTTCACGTTTTCTTCTTTGCCTTTGGCATTGGTTTTGGCATACTACGACATTAGTAATATTCCAATATTTGTCTTGCAATTTATGGCATATGGCACATATTTACCCATTTTGCAGTTGCTTTGTACAATTTACAGTATGGTCGAAGATTTCTGTTTAGAAATGGACGGAAATTCGTGTGCGCGTGCGGATGTCATCCATATAATCAAATCAGATGCATTACAGTCCTGTCCTTGCTGCTGAAGTGTAGCTGTGACGAAAGTTTCCAACTTACAACGGATTCCTTGACATTGCCCAGACATGAACCTACTGTGAAACCAGACTTTATGGTGATATGCACACGGGGAAGGAACATACATCAGACGGAGTAAAGTGGTTGTCTCGAGTGACTGTTTTTGCCCGAGAGTCTGAAGTCCATTAAAATGAGTTTCCATCTGGGTTGGTCTGACTTTTAGTCCCACTCAAGACAGATGCCAGAATTGCTGGGCTGAAGCATTTGGGCATTTACCGCAGCCTAGTGAATTCTCGGGCTCTTCTTTAAATCGTCGTGTTGGCAGTTGCAATCAGTCTAAGAGCATTTGGAAACTCGTCTTTGAATCATCTACCATCAGGGGATAACAAGGATAAGGCTGGGTGAATGGATGTACCAAACTTACAAATGGATGGAGCTAGAGTGATCTCTTAATGCTAAAAAATCAGTCCTGCGAAATGGGTGCTGAAACAGGTTTTGATGACCCTTCAGTGTATAAGCAATCTAGATGTGATTGGCAAAGCTCTTCGCACAGCCTTGACATGGCTTATACATTGTAATGTTACTGCCTAACATTTATACGTTTAAGTCTTATAGCCGGGCAGCTTTAGTTGTGCATTATGATGT